AATATGATATAATATAATACATTATTACAATACATAATATAATAATACAGTAAGAAGCTATGACTAAAATTAGACAATATTCTAATAAACTTCTCTAAATGGTTACATACATAAATAAATTTCTAATTACTTGCGTAATGTTTTCTTGTCAATACTTTAATGTATATTAAATGGGATACATTCTTATACGAAATTTTNTATAATATAATACATTATTACAATACATAATATAATAATACAGTAAGAAGCTATGACTAAAATTAGACAATATTCTAATAAACTTCTCTAAATGGTTACATACATAAATAAATTTCTAATTACTTGCGTAATGTTTTCTTGTCAATACTTTAATGTATATTAAATGGGATACATTCTTATACGAAATTTTCTACCGGATATCATTCTGTAGTCTGGTGTTAAATATAAACAAATGAACTAATCAAAATCCTCGTTTTCTGTTTCAGGTGGTGCTAGTTTTCATTCTCAGTATAGCGTCGCTTATAATATATTTCATCGATGCCTCCAGGTAAGCAAGCTAAACAATCGCTATCGCTACTTCAAAAACTTACCTATCTCATTAATCTCAAAAAATAACAGTTCCTAAAAATGATCAGTCGAATTACTGAAACGTGTACATGACAAAAATATACATATATACAAGAATACATATACATATATCGGAAAATCGTGATATAACCGGCAAGGGAGTGATTCTACATGTAAAAATAAGTCGAGAAAGAGGAATAACATTTTTTTATTTAAGGCTCCGTTTTCGAAAAAAAACTGAGTTGAAAGATGCGTCAAATTCTCGTGGCTTGTAATATGACGAGAAGTAAAATTAGTATATCGCGACCAGACGCGCCAGTTGATTTCTATTGAATAGTATTACTTTTTCAACTTAATTTTTCTCGAAACCGGAGCCTTAAATAAAAAAATGTTATTCCTCTTCCTCGATTTATTTTTTCATGTAGAATCACCTCTTTGCCGATTGTACCACGATTTTTAGAACACTCTATACAGGGTGTCCTAAAATTATGGTATTTCCGGGATATGAAGGGTTCCCGAGGTCATTTGAGGTAACTTTTTCCTCAGCGAAAAATTGCAATCCGCGGCTTTGTTTACTTTGTTTAATGGGAGGCTAGATCAGCTGGCGCGAAACAGCCGAGCCAATGAGCGGAACTGGGTTTCGACCCCTCGTTGGCTCGGCCGCCTCGCATCAGCCGAGCACGCTCCTCATTGGTCAATGTTTTTCGTAAATAACTCGTGAACGATACCTCGGAGAAAATTTTTGTAAAGGAGAAAGTTGCTTCGATTGACCTCAGTAATCCCTTATTTCCCGGAAGTACCATAATTGCGGGACACCCTGTATATACAAGAATTATTGCCATGGTTTCTACAGTTGAAGCACAAAAAGTTCTCAAAGTGAAAAACAGATTTTTCTTGCGAAATTTTTTAGAAACTAATAATGTAGCAAAATATGTTCGCTCTTTCGTTAACAATTTCCAACAATTGCAACATTCTTTTAAGTATATAAAATTGAAAAAATTGATTTATCATCGACAACGAAATGTTTGTAAACATTGGGGAATTTGTTTTGCCAGTACAATGGAAGGAAAAAGAGCGTAGAAGTTTTTAGGTCGCGACCGTTTTACCAGGAATCCCCGCGATGGTACAGAACCAAGTTATCGAGAGCTGCATGAATATCTGAGCACTTCAAAAACTTTTAATGGCGAACGTTATATCTTTCAGAAAAATATCTGCTCGGATAGATTCTATATTCCGTATGTTGTTTGTTCTCATCGATCCGTGCGATTTCACATCTATATGTCCGCGGAAAAATGACCACTGCGAGTACTATAAAAGCCCGGCGTTCTACATTTCTTTAGAACGGGGCGAATTAAAGAGGAGTATGCGAGTGCTATGATCGATAAGAAAATGCAAGTGACTGTTATCGCTAGGATATTCACCTTTTCGTGTTAGATATACGAAGGGATTAATCAATTAATTATTGTTTCCGTTACGAATTTTGTAACACATTTTATAAAATATTTTAGTAAATAATACGTTAATATAACATACATCGATACATATAAATATTTTTGTCAATGTACACAAAAACAGTTTTCTTTATGTTAGGATCCACAATACAATAGTCAATACAATAAATATAAAGTAATGTATAGGAAAAATGATGTGGAAAATAATATCATTTCATAAATATATGCAGTAATGTTATGAATAAAATATATCATAATTTATATAC